AGTGTCTTTGAAAAAAAAAGCTATTGAATCAATAAAATAAAAACTAGAAATGATGGTCAAGGATTATGTTGTAGTGTGTGAATTATTATTGTATGTGAAAGAAATAATTTGACATGTTATGTGTTGTCATTGATATAATTTGTCAAACTTTGAATAAGAAGCTTGCTAAGACCACCTGTTCGACCAGAATATATTTGTAAGTATTGTGTTATTTTTTATATTTCCATAAACCGCTTTTGTGGTTAATATATGTGCAGGTTCGATTGATGAAAAAAAAAAAAAAATTTATCTGCATAATGCTCTAACCGTCATTTTGCACTCACTTTTTGTAATAATATCAGACTATTTGGTAGAATTTATTAGTATGAAAAATAATTTTCCTTTTACCATAATTCTTTGCTATAAAACATGTTTAACTACAGTTGTCATATTTACTGTCATGACTTATCATAAACTTTTCCCATTAAGACAACTTTCGTTTTATTTTGTGTGTAACCTACGAATTGTCTACAACCATCGCTAAGATAAATTCAAAAACTTTAACACACCTAACATAATATTACAATATAGTAATATAACTTGCAATCATTATTGGATGTTCGAAATATAAAAATGTATTTTTAAAACTAGATGTTATTTTGTATATTTTGTACAACGTTGGTTGGGTACTACTTTTGAGCTTTTTTCTTGAGAGAGTATGTTAGATAATATGATGTTACAAAAATATCATTATTGTATTTGAAAACGTTTTAATTTTTTTTGAAAATTGATCAATAATTTTCGATAAATATCAATTTCGATAAACAATAATGATACAATTTAAATCTTAAAATAAAATATAATTGATGAAGTGCAAATGTAGAAAATTATTTAAAGTTATTTGATTCATCTAAGGTAAAACTAAATAATTTCAAAAAAATTTTTGACCATGTTTACTCTAAAAAATATGTATTTAAAATTCTTTAAAGCTATAATATCTTATCACCTTATTCGGTATAATTGTACACATACTGTTGTAAATTTTACAGTATAATTTTCGTTCATAACCTATTTTATATCATAATATTGTTGAATCAGCTCGATTAAACTCAATTTAGGTCAGTAGTTGTTGATGAAAATATAATTGAAATACGTAATTTACTTATTAAACGGATAATAGTTATATGTCCGTTATACACTAGGAAAGTTTAATAAATTTAATAAAATATCTATTTATCTATACATATAATTTTATATTATTATAGACATGCAATTTATTTATGTTCCATGTATTATTTTTAACAAATAATTACTATTGATTTTGATGAAATAAACTAACGAAGTAATCGTATTATATGTTATAATATTGACGGTTCCATAGTAATTTATATAAAAGTTTATTATCTTTTTAAATAATTAAATGTAGATTAAAAATTACAGTTGAAAGTTATTATTATTATTATCTTTGACTRTTTAATATTCTCAGCCATAGTTATAGGAACASTATAAATTTAATAGCAATATTTTCTTTACCATAAAAATTTAGGTTGCATATTTCGTTGTTTCTAAATTCAACTTTCTTAGACGTAGAGTTCTATTTATATTCAACAAAATTCATAAGTTTTGATACGTTCAATTTATTTGGATCAAATATAATCATTGTATAATATTATAAAATCGTTGGAACGCATAAAATTTACATTAGTTTTTATTATGAAAAAAAAAMATCTTACCATGATTTATTTGGATGGTGATTGATTGGAGTGTGAAAAGAACCCACGCGCATACGTACGAGAATTGATGTATTCCACATAGTTTCAGTAGATCACTATTCGAAATTTAGTTCAGATGGGAATTATGTTCTACACGTACATATGAGAGATATTCAATTTATTGTTTATAGATTATGTTTGAAAAGTCTATCTAATGAAATATGGGATATAATTATACGTAAATCACATTATGCGATGTTGTGATAAAGTCGTAGAGAACAGTTTTAAAAATCAATATAGTTCATTAATTTTCGTTTCAAAAGTTTGTCTTTGGGCGATTGAGCACAATGAACCATTTAAAATTAGACGGAGAAAAATAATTGWATTCATCTTGTATAAGAAAGACCCGTTTATCAGACGTCTACGAAGTTTATTTTTAACCATGAAAGATAAACGATCGAAGAAGTTCTCTTGCGGGTTACCACCAGAACATACGTTGGACAATTATTAACTACAGAATCTGAGGTTTAACCTAAATGCCCAATTTCCAAAGATATGCATTTATTCACAAGTGTTGGTATTAGTAGTTACTAGATAAACAGTGTAGGTAGGTAAAACTATGAGATAGAAATAGTTAATTACTTGAAAAAGTATTTTCGTTGGAAATGTTAACCCAACTACTTTGTGATTTACAACAAAAAAGTTATACCGTTGCGTTAGACTAATTTTGTGACGMCACGCCATCTACCGTGCATTAGTCGTCCCTATGTTAAGCATCTGACTTAATTGTGGTTAATTCAAAAACTTGTAGGTAGGTATGATAGAAATACTATGTTTGTGAACCAAACCGTTATTTTGCATTACTGTAATATCATACTCGTTTAAATATTATTTAAGTTAAAATTCGAAAGCATTTATTTCTTACTTTATTAAAGCAAATAATTTGATAATTTCTTTAAACTAAAAAGTATTACGAACAGACACCTAACAATGTCTATACATATTTTTATTAAATTCAATTTGAAAAAATGTTTTTTATTTATACATAAGAATATAAGATTGTGTATTGTATCTGACCTTAATTTCAMAGTATCCAGTACAAAAAATAAAATTCTCAAATTCTCAAATTTTTTTAAAAAATATACCTATTTACAGAAAATTGCACCTAATATAGCTTTGTGAATTTATCATTTTATCGCGAAACAAATAATTAATTGAAATCATTTTTTTTAAATATGATGCGTACATTTCATCAATAAAAACATGTAATTTGCATATATTGTATATTATATTTTTGTCACTAAAATAATGCATACCTATAAGGTTATATGTTTGTATATATGCATACCGTTTCGACTTTGTGCTTTATATTTTAATGAAATATTTCTTATGCTTTCAATATTCATGTATTATGGAATATGATATTATTTCTATGTGAATGCAAGCAATAAATAAAATATGTTTCCAAGATGAAGCCATCATCCAATATCATGGAAACGACTTGTGTTCAATAAAGAGAAAGAGAACGAATATATTTTTTTCCGAACAGATATCGAAATATATTTTTTGTTTCACAATATCTTAGAGTGTATCTGTCAAAGTGAAAATTGGCCAAATAACATACAGCAGAAACAGAGTGTTTGTATTATTTTTATTGCTATTATTTGTTTTCAACATACTTTAACGTTAATGTAATCGTAATGAATTAATATTTTTAAGAATTTATGTACAAGAAAAATGAGGTTAGTTTGGGTTTAAGTAAATAAAACAAAAATAAAATGAGTCAATATAACACGTGGGTATTATAAATTAATAAATATTCATATGATGGAAGTAATGTTTTAGAATTATTATACTAACGTACATGATGTGTAAATAACAAGCAGTTTTCGTGAAAATAATGTTAGATTTATTATAAATATATGACATTGTTGCATCGTATCGTTAACTTTCACTTTGATTTTTGTATTATAAATGTATATTAAAAATGGATACATTTGATTAAGAAAATATAAAGTATACCTAGATAATGTAATTAATTTAAACAATTTTTATTTTAGTAATTAAAAATACTTTTTTTAAATGTAAAAGAGAGAAATACGTTTATATTGTCATTTTGACGCCTTGAATCAAAAAATATAAATGTAATAATTATACATCGCATTGAAAATTTAAGCAATAAAAATATATTGAATGTAAAACAAACGATTTGTTTAATGTAAGTCACTGTTTTTAATCAGGCTTTGTACGGAAATAAATGTTTAAGTTTTATTGGTTTTTCAAATCGTAAAATTATACTTTATATTTTTTATTTCAAGTCGTAAAATTTTAAAGAAATATCTTATTGTATAATTATTACTTATCATGTATGCAATACGTGTTATTGCATTCATCACAACACCTACATCATGCTATCACTACTTGTACATAATATTTTATAACATACATCTAACTATCTATTTATCTATTTTTTATATATAAGTTGCTGGATACATGAATCTCTTTACTCGTGGATACTATCGGGTCCAGTGTGTCTGTCGATGCTGGCCAACCTCGTGTTTTTGATTAACATCGTCAGACTGCTGCTTGTCAAGTTGCACGCYCGACAGATAACCATGTCCAGTCCTAAGCACGTGGCGYCCAGGGAACGGGCGCAGTCGTTCAGTCTCCGGAGGTAAGTTTACGGTCATGATCTGAAAATCGTCTGGATCGCTGGYGTCTGTAGAAAAAGTGACTAACTGTGTGACATCGTCGGTATTATCAGCAGCGATTTAAAATATGACTTGTCCATGTGTGTGGTGTGTTCGATAGCTTCAAACGGAATAACTGCAGCGTAGATAGCTACGACAAAGCGCCAGCGTCGTCGAGTAGGACCGGCAAGGCGGTCCGAGCAACGCTCATCCTAATACCACTACTCGGGCTCCAGTACATCGTGACGCCTTTCCGACCKGAACCCGGCACTTCCTGGGAGCCCGTGTACCAGGTTACATCCGCGGTGGTCGCCTCGTGTCAGGGCTTGTGCGTGGCTTTGTTGTTTTGCTTCTGCAACGGAGAGGTGAAGACGGCGACGACGTTAATAATAATAATTTTATAATAAATTCATAATAATATTTGTTCTCGAATAAAAACATTTTTTTTTAAATGTTTGGTTGCACGCAGGTACTCTCTGAAATGAAGAAATGGTGGAAACATTGCTGGATCAACAAGAATGGGTCGTGGAATCCTTGCAAGAGAGGAACGTCCGTCTCTTCACCACAGCATCACCCACGGCTATTGGTAATCGAAGATCAGCAGACCCAGGTAACCAYAACGACTCATTTTAGAGTTTAAAATTTAATATTAACTATAATAAATATTTATAATATTCGAACATTTGAAGTATTTTCATAGAACCTAGTTTTCAAAAACGATTTAAAAAAAAAAAAAACCGTTTTACAGTAAAAAAATTATTTTCATATGATTATTGTTATGATAAAATGTTAGCCAATGGCTGTCTATATTGACTATCGTCGTTTATTCAAAAGGTTTTGGTTTTTATTTTTAGAGGACCGGAAGCATACAAGTTTTGCCTCGAAAAGATTCTGCAGAAGGTTTACAAAACGTTCAACTCTAGGACATACAAAACACACGTTACGACATTAATATTATTTTTTTCCTGTACAATATAATACGTGTAATATATCATGATAAAATATTTTCTCATCGCTGTTCAGACGATGGCGTCTCTTATCTGCGACTGAACCGGTTGAGTAGTGCCCGTGACGTTGGTGTGTGTGGTGCCGCGTCTCTTGATCCTCCTGATGTACTTGTGAAACGCTCCGTGCACGTCCACGTTGGCGAAACAGAACAAAACGGATACACAAAGGCCCTGCGGAAAAMGTCAAAAAACGACAAGGTCAGGACATAACGGTAGTGGTGGTGGTGCTGGCAATCATACTAGAGGTGTGCTCAGATGTTTCTGGATTTGCGAATCCGATCGACAATCGGGTAGCGTCGTAGATGTCGATAGGATTATATGTTTTATAAAGATTTAAATCCCGAAAAAATCCTAATGTGTAATCTTAAGCTGATCTTAGTTTTATTCTTGTTGCTTCATACCGAATGTCATGTTAAGATAATATATTTCCTTCGGTCCAGATTTGACTCTAAGTCAAAATATTCKAGTCATATTTTTATTTAGGAAAATCTGAGCACTCCTTATTATTAAGTGTGGGGCAAAAAAAACTCCACAAATAACGTTTATAAGAATAAAATATAAATCATTTTTACCATAATATATATAATTTATAAATGAGGCAATATTGTATTAAAACCATGACTTTGTTTCTCTATTATATAAAAAATTTATTAAAATATTATTCATCGTTTGTAATTTTCATGGTAATCAAATCAACAAACAAAATATTATTACAACAAAAAATGCAAATATACAGTTATAATTATTGAAATTTAAAAAGCATTTTAAATAAAATATCTGAGAGGTTTCGCAAAATCTATGGTGGTGGGCAAACCCAGGAACAAAGCCACTAGTAATTAATAAAAATAAAAACCAAACAAAAATAATCATGGACAATGATTTAATATTTAATTACAGAGTCTGATATTAATTTTACTATTTTTTTTTTCAAATGAAAGTTAATTTATTTTAGCATCAATAATGTACATAAACCTAATCCTATCATTAGTGTTTGTAAATTCAATGAATGTTATAATGARCTGTGAAATTTATTGAATTGTATAGATTCCAAATTAATAATTTTTACAACTACAATTATTGTAGTCGTTGGCCAATAACCACTGTGTTTTATTACCCGACACTGATTATATGCGATATCTGACCGTGTAGAGATACTGGATAATAATGTACTATAGATATACACGAGTATAGATAGACCTCGAATCCACAAAGATTCACATTGTTAGTGGTCGTATACTTTTCCCAGATACACGAAAAAATKATTATTATTCACTCGGATTCAGTGATAATGAGGCCAAGCTCAGTGATCGTGTTGATTGTCTCCATCAAATTCGRACAATGTTCTCAAATAAGCCTCTATACGTTTCACGGATCATGTCCAATACCCATACCCGTGTATCTCAATAGTATCTAATCCGTATTTAGATCGGTGTAACAATAAAATGTTTATAATAATTATAATATAATAATATTATTTTGTTTGGAAAATTATTGACGACGGTGATTAAAATGTAGGAATGTTTTAGACTGCGGCGGTCTCACTCACCTGGGTCGACACCAGTATTACGGAAAATATCTGATAAACCGTTTCCACGGTGGTCTTGTGCTTTGGCCGGTACGGAATGAGGATGTAATGTATGCCGAAAAGGGGGACCAGGATCAATGCGGCCCTGACTGCCTTCCGGACGCCAATCGGTGCCGGGTTTGTCGAGTTCCGATGGAGTTTGGTGAGCAGCACCCGCATGACGTTCATCAGAAACAATAGACTGGTTAGAATGGATGCGAAAACCGGTACGGTCAGAACCCACTGGCAGTGGCTCTCGTGCATCCAACACCTGCAATTTTTATTAGTATTATTATTGTGAACTACAATCGGTTTTTTTAAATCTTTTTGTCGTGTCGTAAATAATATGTTATAGTATATACATTATAATTATTATGTTAAATGGTATTACGGATTGTTTCGATCTATATTCACAATTTAAATGGTAACATGTCCGAAATCTCGATTTGTATTCATTGTTTTGTTAACCATGATGATGATTATCTAGGTACGTTGAGAAAATTATATATGCGAGATTATTATATGTAAGATACCTACATAAAAATACCCCATTGAAATTGTATAACTGCAGAATTACAGTGACGTACGAGTATATTGATTAGAAAATTGGAAAATACCTTAGATTTGAGATCTTCTTTATTGTAAAAATTTGATTATTAATTTTATTTTCGACACTAGAAATGTTGGTTTATTACAATTCACGTTAAATTCAATATTGGTATATAATCGTACATACCTATTTGGGGTGTGGTATTAACTGTTGATTTAGGTATTCAGATAATAAGTACAATAATCGTTGACTATAATAATATGGGCGAATGTAAGTTACTACACGAGACCTAGCAGGTAAACAAGATACATATGTTAGTTCCTACACGATAAAATAAGGTACATATGTA